CAAACCAGAGCTCTAACATTAACGCATGTACGAATGTAAGATACTGAAAACCGGCACAGGTAAAACTAAAATTGGTAAATTCGAAACATTTAATTTTAAATTATGATACGCCATACAGAAAATCACTCGTAGGCATACACAATGAACATATTAAGTCTGTGTTGACGTGCGTTTGTACGCGTGAGAGTGATCGTGATATATCAAGCTATGCCATCCAAAATCTCTTTAATTCCCAAGGACACCATTATTCACCGGTGTTAGGGTCATGAGTCTGATTTCATATCAATAGTGACCATTTTGATTTTCATGCTGAACCATCACACTACCTAATCTTTTTGCTGGGATTTTAATTGTTGAACAACTTTAAATATAGCTATCTATAACCGATTTTACTAGGATTTGATATGCGTCACAATTGTCTGCACACAAGTGGAAATTTATTAATAACATAGGTATTACCTCCACATCCACGTAGTCACTCATGCTTAGATATACGCAGGCGTGCACGGGCGCACGCGCACACACCATCAATACCATACACCACCACGATCCCCACAACTAATCATGATTCGTTTAACGTTTTACCAGACAAACGAGTTTATATCATATTTTAATAATAGAAACTAAATTACCGTATAATTTAGAATTTCATTGAGGAGCGTGTAATGCATTTAATAACAAATTACCCGCACGTGAATATACATCTACAAATCGATTAAGTGTTTGAATCAATTTTTGTTAGATTGGTTAATCCATGTTAATTCACTTCTCACATAGCTATAAGCTATATACCTATAGCTACAACCTATATCAAGGAGTGTGTCGCACAAAGCAACAATTGATATGACTAATAATATATCGTCCCTGTACCTGATCGACGCACATGGTATAATAGATTAGCTCACTCTACTACTATAGAAGAACAGCGAATCTCGCGATACTATGTAATGTAGCTTGTATATACCGCGCTATGTGCATACTGTGCGTTTCCCTGTAAAATAAACCTGCATTTTCTGAATACGACATTGTACTTAGATGACAAATTACAACATACAACACACACAAGACGATATTACACAGTGGTTTACAAATGTATACGCATGTAGCCGTAGAGCTAGTCACACACAACGAAACCAGTCTCTTAGATCATGTAAAGACCTTGACAATTTACATACACTGTCATAATATATAGTTGCCAGAACAGTGATAAACGTTTGACACTGAATATTAAGTACACCGGCCAGACTATAACTAGTATAACTAGCACAATGTGCCATTAATTTTTCTTAATACGATGTTTAGTATCATTTTAAATTACACAATAGTACATTTCCTACAGGAATATACAAATCATAATGGCATCGCATATACATACATTCACATATATATTTATGTATATTGATATATATATATATATATATATTTATATATATCAATTACGCTTATAAGTACATTCTAATATTTACAATGAGAATATAATATACGCAGTAGTGAATAAAACTATCCACCTGTCAAACCGAGGCCTGGGCAAAATAAACACATACAAGCAGAGAGCGGGCCATTTTGGAATCAAGTTACTGATTTAGAATATTATTCTACGGATTTACCGCTGATCCCAGAGAACTATTATCGTTTACTGACAAGCGCAAAACCGCCAAATAACGCCGAAGGTTGCATCCTAACCACTCTCACATAGACCGCAGTACGATGTCGTTGTGCGAAGAAGAAACATTCAAAGCGGAAATATAAAAATTAGCTCCACGGTGTTAAATTAATTGCAACTGCAAATTAATGACGTCAATAACCCGAAATAAACAACACACGTAATATAGCGGCTGCACTAAGTGCAAACAGACTGACAATTTGCTGAAGTGTTACAGGAATAAATGTCCCGTGGGTCAGGATTATTTGTTGTTAGTGAAAATGATAACACATCAAGTTTTGACGCATACATTAGTTACAACTGTACAATTTGAGCTCGTCGACTTTCAATGTCTATTCTGTAGTCTTTTTACCTGTCGGCTGCACGTTTACTTGTGGCTCATATCGGTAAACATCGGCAAAACAAACGCACGTCTGTGTTAGAATAGATCTGATGTAACTTATGTTCTGCCGAACACACAGTTATTATATTGCTGAAAGATATGCACCGGGTTTTTTAAAATTGCAAAAAGATAGTAAGAAATTCGACAATCTTTACTACCCTATCGGAACCAGAAATACTCTGCATGTTCATTTCGTTAATTACAAAACGGCGTACGAATGTATTATCTTTGTACCGTCATACACGAGAAAGGAATTATACCATGACGCTGGCAAGCAGCTATTGCATGGTAGCTACGCAGTCACACGGATAAAACCTCAATCGCAAGCATCATGCGTTACTTGCTTTACTCTATACATTGCCAGAACCTTATCCTATAAAACCTATTACGTTCTGTTAAAGGAAAGAGTGAGGATTCGACGATTGATTTCGGCATCGAGGAACGCAAGCGACTAACTATACTGGCAATATACGCGAAGAGAGAGAGGGAAGGAGAGAGAGACAGAGAGAGAGAGAGAGAGAGAGAGAGAGAG